AATATTATTCTTTATCATTGTTTTTTAATGGGTGATTTTATTCTAAGATAACTCAAAAATATACAAAAAAATAATACAGCATAAATGCATTTAGAGTATGTTGCACTTGAGTCAAAGAGAGAGAAAACAAACAAAGTGTTACCATCTTCTTAAGTAAAAAATAGCCAATGAGTACAACACACACATAATAGAAATAATTTAGAATCCCAACGCCTGGAGGTTGCTAAAGCCAAAAGTAAAAGAAATGTTATATTTTTCTTATTTTATAGATACTCATCCAGTCCCACAAAAACTCTATAATTTCATTAATAATCAAAAACCGCAATACGATTGWACTACATCTTAGTTTATGATAATAACTACAATTTACAAGTAATAAGCTTAATCCGCTGTGGCCATGATATTTAAAATATTTATATTATTTAATATATTTTAAATTTTGCTAGTGGAAAATTGATTAAAAATTGAAATAAATCTACACATTTTGATTATCAAATTCAAGTTCTTAATGTATTTATGAATGTAGTGTTTCATCATACATATTATCAGGCAATGTAAAGAAAATAATATCTGTTAATTTACATAATGTTTATTTCATCATATTGGACTCTGTTCCCACAAAAATTCTTTTTTATATTTTTGACCAGCCTCACAACTTTCAGGACAAGTATAGACAGCTAAAACACCGAAGTTAAATGATTCCTTGGTTGAAGATTCTGGCAATTTTAAATAGTACAAAATTTGCGGCATTATCTAAAAATAAAATATAATAATAATTTAGACCTTTATTAAGTAATTTAGTTTAGATTAACATACTTGAAATTCAAAACTTCTTTGTTTGCCACAAAATTGGCAAGATGGAATGTCATTAGGCTCAGGAATACGTTTAGTACAGATCCACAATGGTGACTCTAAGCGGTTGTACCTACAAAGTTTTTTAATGGTTGATTAAAATTAATTTTAATATTTTATATACTTGTTTCAGAATTTATTATAAAATACCTAATAATTTGTTCGGGAACTGAAGATATAGATTTTTTAAACTTTTCAAAATATTCATCATCTTTGTCACCACCATAAGCCATTTCTAACAAAGCTTCATCTAAACCATCCATATCTATGTAGAACATAAAATAAATTAAAAAACAATAAACCAAAACATAATTTAAATATATACTACCTTGAAGAGAACCTTTTGGAATTTGAGCTTCATCACTATTTTTACTACAATCACTTTCGTCATCCTCACTATTCAATGATGCATTTTCAGAACTTTCATCTGACTCTTCATTAATAATATATTCTGGTAACACCACAATGAATCTAAATAGTATACATATTATGTATCATAATATTATGACATTTATACATTCAAAAATGTCACCAATAAATATTTAATACAATACTTGTCTTTAAGTTCTTTATTTAAATCAATATTTTTATGATGTAAACTGCAATAGATATTTTCATAATCAACCGTAGACTTGCAACCGCATACCTTTAAATTAAATACAGACATTTTAAATAAAACAATGAAAATTTAAAAATATACCTATTTCTCAAGTTAAATATTTTAAACATATTAAATATCCAATTAAATATATAAACATTAGGACACTACAGACACAACCCAATTACGTACTTTACATAATTTTATTCCCCACATATCAGGTGTAATATCTGGATCATTGGGTTCAGCTGGTTCACTTGAATAGTAATCATTATTTTTACGAAGCTGTGATCTGAAAACTGCAAACGTTCTTCCGTCTTTGCATTCATTGCAATAAAACACATACAAAGTTCGATGGAAACAAGAACCGTGAAACTCGGGTTCATCAATTGGTGCATACAACTGACACAAAAAAACTAGAGGAATATTACACTTTGAACAGGCCAGCTCGCTTGCTTCTGGAATATGTTTCAAATCTAACCAAGCTGGTTTACCGCCAACTTTGGATGGAAAAAAACGACTAGTAAGAGTAAAAGATTCGGTGGTAGAATGTTCGTCTATAGTACCCAGCATAACAGACATGATTATCGAAAATATAAAAACAATTTTTTTACTTCAACAAAAAAATAGGATCGGTGTTCGGGTGTTCTTAAATAATACTAATAACAGTAATAACACACTGCCCGGCCGGCTCTATCTAAATCGCCAATATACCAATTAAACCATCATATTATCACAGAATAATATAGATAACAGAAATACACCAAAACACCAAAAGTAAAAAAAGCACGGATCAAACACAGTTATTCTTTTCTATGGCACGGATATTATATCCACAGAACTATTAGTTTATTACTATAAATTATAAACTTATAACCACTAATTCATAAATTCATGAGCACATCATAAATATTCTGTTTATGGCAAGGTGTATTTCATAATTTTAATTTTATTAGACATTTTAGTTTTTCGTGTTTATTATATATGTAATATGTATTATGTACCCAGGTGGCGTACGCGTAGTGGGGTAGGTGACGGACTGACCCCAATTGACAGAATTAATATAAGTTATTACTTAAAAAAAAAATATTCATAAAAAAAAAACTGTCATCAATTAGCAAACAGAGACGCAAGTCGCAAATTCATAATATACATGTTACCGGAAGAGCCATAGGCCATAGCCTATATTTTAGCCATCAATAATACAAATTGACTGTAAAATGTAAATACCGGTGTTCAGTTGGTATCATTTTGTTACAGTAATGTGTTAAGAGGACGTTGTTATACGACATACGTTATACCATTGATTATAAATATAATAGTATTTATAATCAATGGTACTAGTTGTCTCCTTGTCTCCGTCTTTCAAGTGCGTAACATGGCAAATTTTACGCTCAGCAGACAGCAGATCACGTATTCAGGTATTCACTATTCACGTTTAACTCTGTGAATTTAAAATTTAGAGTGAATTGACCTCTTATAAAAATTAAAGTTTACATTATTATYGAGGGTTTCTCATAGGCTTTTTATTTTTACTTTTAAAGCAAGTTATCAATATTTTAAGATATACAAACAATTAACAATTTTAAAATACTTATAAAGTCATAACATGTTTTAAAATTAAAATAAAAAGCCTATGAGAAACCCTCTATAATAATGTTAACTTTAATTTTTATAAGAGGTCAATTTACTCTAAATTTTAAACTCTCGGGGCTAAACGTGATCGGTTGATCGTAAAATTTGCCATGTTACGCACTTTTAAAATGGAGACAATACGTACGGATATAACGTCCTCTTAAATTAAAAATATGTTTATTATAATTGACTTTGATCAAAGGTGGTGTGTCAGACTATATTATTTCAAGAATATTTTTTATTTATTAATATTACTCTTGGTGAACTTTATTCTAACCTTTTAATATGGTTGGTTAAATCAATTTTTCTGAGAACTTCGTGTTGTTAATATTAGTAATTACCTATAGGCTATTGTAATACATTAGGTATTGTGCGATGTGTGTGATTTACAGGGCCGTATTTAGGAATTTGACACGAAGGGGCAACAAAAAAAATACACCTCATTAATCATTATACAAAATACAAATTTAAATTATAAAAAAAATAGCCGCCCTCTCCTACTTAGCCGCCCAGGGCAACAGTACCCTGTAGCTCCCCCCTAAATACGGCCCTGGTGATTTATCATAATATGATTGTTAATAATATTTGAAACAGTCATAAATCCTATTTATTATAATATTTTCAGTATTGTCATATAATATGATGATGGCTCTAAATATTTTAAATGGTTTAAAATTAATCTGAGTTCTTACTTTTATCGATTTTAAACAATTTTTTGTGTACCTAAATATAGTAAATACTAAATAGTAATTTACGAAGTGATGTATAGTTTAAAAACCAGAAGTCTATATTATATTATATGTTTAGTTATTTAATTTTTATAAATGATTAAAAATTAATAAAACAAATAACATTCAACAAATTATGTTTATTTGTATGCATATAATTTTGAAGTACACCAAAATAATAAATAATTCAATATAAAATATACATAAAATATATTATTAGATGACAATCACAAAAAGTTATTTAAAGAAAATTAAAAATGATTATAGTGTTATACTATTATTGTTTTTTACAAGGGTATAGATCAAAATCAATACCAGGGTTTATGAAATAGAAACTGTCCACCTTAATTTATTCACATTACTTATTTAAAGTAGTATTTTCAACAAATATTAACATATTTATATTTTTTTAAATWACCCTCAGTAATTGATACTAGAGTATTCTTCTTAACATTCTTGTTTAAATGTGTTATACATTTTAATATAAAAATAAATTCAACTGAGATCATATTATTTTTAAGGCCACATTTAATGTCCAATACATTATATGAACAAATTTAGTTAATGTCATCAACTATCTCTTACCTATACTAATTATATTGATTGGCTTGAATTTCTTTACATCCTCTTTTAATTTCTTCCAAACTAAATCCAATGAAGCTAAAGCATCTTCCTTGCTGTCATGACCTTCTTCACTTTGAATAATTCTTTGTAAATGCTGTTCAGACAACAACTTCAAACTCCACTTATAAGGAGGACCATATTTATGAGGATACATAACGCTGGTATCTACTACATTATAATGAACCATTTTTAATGCTTTTAAATCACTGTCTAAACTATGACCAATTAAAATTGAATCTTTATCAAATATCTTCAATAAATCTTGTTGAACATCAGACAATCTCTTTGAACAATTCCTTAATGATTCCTCAGTAATTCCACTGAATTTAGATTTATAATCAAGTATAGTATTAAAAGGTTTCACTTTGGATTCATACACTTCTTCTCCTTCATGATTAATGACTGTGACTCGAACAATTTCAATACCAAATGTAGTATTGACCATTTCACAATCTAGGGCATAAAAGTTTGGTATTTCTGGCTTTTTGTCAGATTTTTTACTTTTAGTCATAACAAAATTTTCCAACGCATCTTCATCAAACTTATCAGGCATGTGGTAAATACTTGATTCACAACCAGATTCATGTTGCCTTTGGTCACAACAAACCCAAAATTTTTCATTTTTAGACCTTTCAAATTTTAGCTTGCCAGAATGAAAAATACATTTGGTTAATGTAACTGTAGGCATACCATGTTTATCAACTTCAAACTCACTTTTACAATTCATGCACACAAATTTATCACCATTACGTTTTTTAGAAAGTGGTCGGTAGTAGTGAGCATTTTTGGAAATATATGCCAATTTATTATCACCCATTAGTGGAAAACCATTTGTTTCCAAATCGTCTTGTGTTAGAATATATTTCTTCAATAATCCATACAGACAAACACCATACATGTGAGAAGGGTAATATGGATTACTTTTAACTTGTAATTGAGGTGATTTATTGGCTTTCATTAAAGACTGAACAATAAGGTTTCTATAAATTCCAGATGATTTTGCTTTACTATGAACTTCTTCTTCAGTTGTATGRGCTTTATCGATTGCTTCTTCAGATGAGTAATGATTAATGAAGGCTGTATAAAGTTTCTCCAAACAGCTTTGGCGTAAAGGATTTGGCATATTATTACTATTTTTAAATGATTTTATTCTTAAATTCAATTTTACATTTGAAGTTATTTCTTTCTTGTTTATATTTGAATTGTTTGATGTTTGAGATTCTGAAGTGCATAAACGTACTTCGATTTTTGATTGATGAGCAATACGAGTTTTAGTCTTTAGTAATGGTAAACTAGGATCRYTATTTAAATTAATTTTAGTGACACTTGGTTGATTTCCAAAAACATTATTTTGATTAGATTGTACTCTGCTTGCTACCATTTCATGAAGAGACTTTGTAGTTTTTGGTCTCATAATTGGTTTTGCATTAATTTGTGCAAATATACTTGTAGAGGAAATATGAGATATTCGTTTTTTTACTTTGGCTGCTATAACATTACATGATTTTGGCTCACTATCAGAATCTTCTGAACCAAAAAATTCGTTTAAACTTGATTCGATTAGTGAAGTCGATGGATCATTACCTTCATCACTTGAACTAACTCTGGAATTAACTATATCCAATTTAATAAGATCAGGTTCAACTAATTTTTTTTTTACTTTTTCTGTAACTACTTCTTTCAACGATTTTGGGACAGAAGGAATGCTAGATGTATTCATACTGTCAAGATTAATACTCTTAACATTTTTATCTCTTGAATGTCTTCTTTCACATTTCTTCTCATTGTCTTGGTATTTTTTGTCCTTTCTATGTTCTGAAGATTTATCTCTTTTAGGTTTTTTAGATCTACTTGAAGATTTTTTTGAAGACTCATGCTTACGTTTCGAAGATGTTTTATGTTCATGATGACATTTATCAGTTTTTTTAGTTTTATCTAAAGGTTTTTCAATAGCTGTAGGTATATATTCTGAAATATCTGTATTCAGTCTAGAACTATTAGTGCCAATATTATAAGTTGTTGAAATTCCTTCAGCATAGTTAATTGATTCTGTTTGTTCTTTTCTATTAAATTCATTATTAGTAGGTTGAAGTTCAAAATCTAAATTTATGTCTTTGACACTCGAAGGTATATATTCAGGTATAGGAATGTCTTTTTTACCTATTTCATTAGTTGATTTAACACCGGATTCAAGATTCTTTGGCTTTATACATTTAGGTATGTATTCAATAACTTTAGACTTTACCTTTTGTTTTAATGTTGGTTCATCGGGCAACTTTGATGTATTGACAACAGAATTGTTTTCTGGTTCAGTGACAATTTGACATTTTGCATCAGACAAAAAATCTTGTCTACTATGCTTAAAGTGACAATATGGTCGATCGCAAAATGAGTCAGTATAATAGGGACATTCAAGAGCCTTAAAATAGCCTTTGGAAGGCAACATTTTGATTTKAATGATAATTATGAAAAGTTGTATGCWCGGAACAATAAAATGTGTATATCATACATTTGTATTTAGTGCTCACAAATCAAAATTCCGACACATTAATCAGATATTTTCAGCAGCTATCAAGTAAAACAAACTTAGTAATATTGATGTTTCCTAAATTATTCACACAATGCGTTGTAACTATGAAATAAAAATGAATCAGTTGTTACCATAGGATAGTAGTGTAAAATAAAAAGTTTGGCATGTACCTTCTTAATGTCCTTATGATTAAATTGTTCATAGACGGAGTAATTCATAAAGTATAATATTAACARTTATATTCGTAATTTAGTATGTAAGTACTAAATCGGAACCGGAAGACCGAAATACAAATTAATTACCAATTACGAATTCTGATTTCTGATCTAAGAATTGAGATAGTGAGAATATTCAACTAATCATAATTGATAAAAGAATTTTATTCAAGTCCTTAAGAGTTAGGGGCTCCCAAAATCTACTGATAATTCAATCAATTTGTGAAAAATTACTTTTTCCTACACTGTACAATGTGCACTATCAATTTTAACTTATCAATTAACCATAACAGTATAACACTATTAACACTGAACATTTTTTTTTTTATAGTTTGAATAAATTTAAAATTTAATATAGATATGTTATAATAATATTAATTATTTTTTGAGAGTAACTTCTAATTATTTTAAAATTAATTATTTAAATTTGTAATTATTTAGATAGTATTTCAATTTTAAACTATCTAATCAAAACTATAAAAGTTCAATTTTGTTAATAGTTATAATTTGTAAAATATAAATGGAAAATATAATCTTTAATAAGGATCAAGAGATGGAGTCCACTCATTATAAAGATTACTCACAAGAAGATTTGTTTTTAGTTCCAGAACCAAAACAATCAAACGATCAACATAATTCTTCTGATCTATTTGGAAAAAAAAAGAAAGATAAAAGTAAAAAACAAATCGAAGCAGAAGAAAGAGAAAAAATGAGGTATCTTTTATCAAAGAATAATATGATAATTTTGTGTTACATTGAATTACTATTCTAGAGTTCTTGTGTCCAACTTCACCGAAGAACAATTGGATAGATATGAAATGTATAGAAGATCAGTGTTTCCTAAAGCAGCAATTAAAAGGGTTTGTATTTGTTTCATGTATATTGACTTAACATGTTTATCAACTCTGCAAATAATGATCATCCAAATACAAATTCGTTAAATATTTAATATTTTAGATCGTACAAACCATCACTGGAAATTCTGTTTCTCAAAATGTTGTAATTGCCATGTCGGGTATTGCAAAAGTATTTATTGGTKAAATAGTTGAAGAAGGTAATTGAAAATTTTTATTTTTATTTTTGTATTGTCATAATTTTTGATTGTGTTTTCATTGTAGCTCTTGATATAATGGAAGCTCAAGAAGATTCAGGACCATTACATCCCAAACACTTGAGGGAGGCTGTAAGGCGACTTAGAAAAACTGGAGCTATTCCATCTTCCAAAGGTAGAAAGCTGCCTTTTTACATTTAGATAGGTACCTAATATAAATCTAAACGTATTTGTTTAACAATCTATTATTTTTTTAACTTGAGAACTAATGTAAATGTTGAATGTATATATTTGACAGTAGAGCATTTAATTATATTGATAAATAAGAAAAAATCTATTTATTTATGTTCTTATTAAAATCTTTTATATCAAAAATCTGTATTTAAAAAAAAAATTGTTTTTAAATGTCTGCTGGTCAGCGATTGCAGACTGGCCTGTTGGCCGTATTATTTAATTTGTCATTGTCACTAAATTATTTTTAAGAATAAAATTTGAAAATTAATGAAAATTCACTATTTATATTTGTTATCGGCTCATTATATTTTCGTTCCCAATTAAATCCTATGGGTATACCTAATCATTAACTATTATATTAATAATAGTTAATATTAATTTTTGCTAGAATATGGCGCAAAATTTTAAAATCACTGACTGGCCTGTCAYCTACCCAGTACACTTCTGATTAAAATAACAGGTGAAATACGATAATTTAAACATGAATTGTTTATTCTCTGATGAGACTACAATGTGAGTTTATAACCGTGAAATTATATCATTTCACTTAGTAATAATTCAGCAATTATTAAAACTAAAAATATATTACAAATTATTTTTTTATAACTATTAAGTATTAAATGTTAAAATATAAACTGCTTTCCTAGACACTATGTTAGCTAATATTTATTCTATACATCCTTATATCAGTGGCACAACTAGGGATAAAATTTTAGGGGGGGGGGTGTTTATAATCTTTAGTCCACTTGATATTACCATCGAAAATTTGCAATTTATTATATATATAGAAATTTATCTTTTTAAATCTAAGGTCTGAAAATTCTGCAAGATTCTTCATGAGTTTGTCTATTTTATAATATATAAAATGTCTACCGGATAGTCAAATGAAATTTTTATGAGCATTTAAATTACAACATTG